CGTGAAGCTCCAGCAAGCGGTACAAAAAGCCCTCCTTGGCGTCGACCGATACCGGGTAAAGCTGGATGGATTTATGTTGAAGGGAGCCCATCTGAACGGCCATGACGGCGAGGGTGAGGGAGGGGTGCACGGTCACCCCGCAGACCGCGGCCGCGGCCTCCACAGGGGCCGCCGTGGCGCTCGCGAGCAAAGGGCAGCGAAAGAGCGGCACCGCCGTGATGCTGCGCTCGTCCCTCCCTAAAATCATCGCCAAAAGACAGTGCCGCGAGACCCCGAGGACCATCCAGGGCGATCCCGGCGCCGCCCCGGTCGAATCCCCCCTCCCGGCGGGAGGGGGGAGGTCAAAACATGGTCGAAGATCCTCCAACGAGAGGAGATCGATACCCTTGAGGAAGAGATGCTCCGTAAAGCGCGCCGGGACGTTGAGGGAGAGCGGAATCCAAGACGCCGCCAGCGCGTCGTGGGGATCCTTACGCGCGTGTCGGGGGTGGAATGCCGCCAAATCAAGCGGAAATCCGCCGTAGTCAACGCCGCCGGAGGTCCCAATGAGAACCCGCACCTGAAGTGGGGAGTCCCGCCCGGCGTCCGGCGAGGCGTCGAGGCCGAGGGGGCGACGGCGAGAAGTTTCCGCCGGTGTTGTGGGCTTCGTCCAGCGCAAAAATGCAGCCAAACACGACGGCAAGGCGGTCAGTGCGGGGACCTCGACGTAGTGCAGGAGCCGCACGGCATGGTTCGCCACGTGAAGTACCCTCAACACAAAGGCACTGGCGACGATTAAAATCGGATCCGTCGTGGGGGAAAACTGGTGCGATTCACGCACCGAGGAGGCCACTTGACGGCTGCATTTTACCATGGTCGCGGCTGTGGGAAACGCGAACGCGATGCCCAGGGTGTCCTCCTCAAACGAGTAGGAGGCGTTGGGCAAGGTCAGAAGTTGAGGGGCCATCTCGTCGTCGAAGTTCCCAAAAAAGTTTACCACATACACACCATCGGTGGCGACGACAAGTAGCTCATCCGCCGGCATCCAGAAGTAGTCCACCAGGGGGTGTTGATGGCGTGCGTGAGAAAAATCCTCCGCGTTGAAGCCGAGGCCTTTGGTTTTTTTCTTTCGGGAAGGAGGGCCCGACGATCGATCGCGTGATTTCGTACTCGGTGCGGCGGTGCCTTTGGTCGAGGCCTTTGGGCGCTTGAGTTGAGGTTTCGCCTTCGGTCGCCCTCGCTTGGCTTTGGCGCGTCCCCGATGACTGTCGGAGTCGTCATCCGAGGATGTCGCTTGGCTCGATTCGGAAGAGTCCTCGTCAGTCCCCACGCTCGGCTCTCGCGTGGTGGAGGCGGAGCCTTTCGCCGCGCTTTCCCTGGGCGGCGAACCGTCCTTTTCGCGCGGGGCCGCCTCGCGGGCGCCCTTCGCGAGGTCGGCGGTGGAGAAGCCGAGGCCGAGGCCGACGCCTTTGCTCACACGCGTTTTGCCATTCACCGAGCGCCGGACGCGGTAGACGAGGAGGTTGGCCCCGGTCGAAAGGCAGATCCGGGCCTCGGCGGGGTAACGCACCTCCGGCAGAAGGCCGAGCGCCCACTTCGCGCCGACGGCGCTCTCCTCCGAGGCCTCCTCGGGGCGGTGGGTCAGAGGGTGGTGTTGGATGGCGACCTCGCTGGAAGGCCCCCAGAGGCCCTCCAGATAAAACCGAACCGACCAGCGCAAGACAACGTGCAGGACGTTGTGCGGGCCCCATCCAATCAGATCGGTGGACCGCCCCGGGTGATCCCCGACGGAAAAGCACTCGTCGTAGCGTATTAAATCCCCCGATGTATGGCCCATCCTGGAATTATTGAATGGTCGCGGACAGCACACGTGAAACTGGATGAAACAAGGTCTCTATGCATATAGATATATCAAAAGCGATAAATCTATATCGGTAAATGTCTATATAGATATCGATGTATAAATGTGTAGTTTAAAACTCGTACGGCAACTGTTCTTTGAAATCACAAAAAGTGAACTAGAAAAGACACATCGAAGGGGGTAGTGAATGAAAAGTAGGTAAATATGCTGCATTTCTATAGTTCGACCACGCAAAGGTCGCACACACACAAAAAAAAAGGAAGAAAACAAATGATTACTATAGCACGTAATGTACTTTTTCAAAAGATAGATTGAATTCAGTGCGGATGAGAAGAAAATAAATACGAATTTTATCTAGCTTTATGTACGTGAATTAATTGAAAAGAATAAGTGTCTAAACATGTACAAAGCACACGCGCTGATTATGATAATATTGTGTAAATAAAAAAAGCTTTACATGATTATATTTCTGAAATTAATAAGATGATTCTTAAGGGATAAGAATGCGGTAAAAAAAGGTACATCTAAAATCGCATGTGTTTCCCCCTATGGGTTGCATCATAGCAAAAATACATCGAAACCAACAGGAGAGGGCATAGTCCCTATTGCGCGTCCGTTGGAAAAACAAAGCGGCAGATACTATCTCTATTGCCAAACATTAATTTGGGGTAAGACGCCCTCCATGTGGCTTCGGGGTTGCGTGATCGCCTTGGTGAGCTTACTGGCGATATTGAGCCGCCCGGGGTAGGTCCGGGCGGACGAGGAGGACCGGGGCGGCATCACCGCCGGGAGGGTCGCGCAGACGCCGAGGTCCAACGAGTCCGCGGGCGAGGTCGAGGCCCGCGGCGGGTGGGCGTCCGCCGCGGACAGGACGAGCTGCCCGCAGGTCGGGCACTCCTGCTGCCCGCCAAACTCGTTGAGGGCGGAGTCGTAGCGGAGGAGGGG